AATGAAAATTATTAAAGTTTGGTTCTATGAATTTTATTTAAAAATGTTATTATAAGACTAATTTGGTTGTTTGAATTTTATTTCAATGTTTTAAAACTACTATTATTAAATTTTTGGTATTAAAAAACTATCTTCGGTTTATTAAATTACTTTATTTTAAATTTTTTAATATCTGCAGCAGTCTGCAGATGTTAAAAAAACAAATATGCTTCTCATTACAGTCTGCAACACTTTGATCCACCTCTTCTGCTGCAGAGGGTCGCAGAGGTGGTCCGCAGACTTCAGACAGTTTCACTTCGGAAAAACAAACAACACCTAATTGTCTTAAATTAATATTAATTTTATTAAAATATAACACATGTAGAAAGATAAATAGGAAAAAAAATATAGAAGGATATTTAATTTCTCTTGGTTTAGTTAAATGGTTAGAGATCAAAATAATTTAAGGATGATTGGCATTAAGCTTGGTTTAAATAGCGTGCTGAGGCCGACGCAAGTAAAAATGCATCAAGGTCTGTGATATTATGTCCGTAATGCAACGTGATGACCGTTCGTATCGAAGACGCATTTGATGGAATAGATTGTGTATTGGCCCAATCAACATAAAAAAAAAAAAAAAAAAAAAAAAAAAAAAAAAAAAAAAAAATCAAATTTAAAAAGCCCATGTCATTTGTTAAATACAAAATAATATATACAGGCCCTATAGGAGAAAAAATGTACGCCTTTCATTTTTTTTCTTAATGTCATTACTGATTAGTGATTACACAAGACTAAAAAATAGCCTTTCTAGTCTTTTTGTTGGCTGTTTTTCACCGGAAAGAACTCAAGAAGTAATACAGTTTGCTTGTTTCATACTTGATTACAGTAAAGTGCTCCTTTTTGCTTATTCTCTTTCTCTAAAAACGATTCTAATTATTAGATCTTAAATAATCAGTTACGAAGTTGTATAATAAAACGAAGTATTGAATCCCATTATGAAAAAAGTACCAAAATACCCGTTGTGAAAAGTATTGAATCCAAATGAAAAATCACCAAAATACTCCTTGTGATCATCAGTTGCTATGCTTTCCTATTATCCTACCTATTCAAATCCATGACTTTCATGTCTGTCATCTTTTAAAAATAGAACTTTCCTACAAGATCATCACCACCCTCACTCTCATTGTTCCTAATAAACACTACCCACCTAAATTAACCTTATCACTAACTACAAATATATCCAATTAACAAAACAAACAATTATATTTTAAATTTAAATATTTTAATGATATATAAGAACGTTATCATAACATAATAGCATCTAGTAGTCACCTAGAATCGATTTGCTCAAAATAGACTTGAGCCAACAATTTCCTTGAATAACAATAAGGCTAGACATCTATTAATTAATAGCTTATAGGAAAGACAATCGAAACAAATCATACATAACACCAACATAATTTTTAAAAAGAACCAACACGTTCAGATGTTAAGCATATCATGCTTACAAGAGATCTAGCAGGTGGATGTAAATATGTAATGCACTAAAAATTGATATTTGATGGGAAAGTAATCAAGAAACATAGCATCATGCAGATTATTAATTTATAGATTACGAAACTGAAATCGAAAGATATATAAAGCCGCAGCTCATCATATGTAACGCTTGGCAGGTGCAACCCAAACAAGACTGTCAACATACCCCACAACTTTAATTATACCAAGTTGTCCACCCATAATCTTGAAGCTTTTACACTTCTCTGCAATTGGATCATACAAAGCAAAACGATCATTGGGAGCATGGAAAAAGAACTCACCATGTGATGTGAATCCATATGGATATATTTCATAAAAAAACTCTGAAAACTCATGATGTTTAACCCATGATTCAGCCACCCCATACTCATCCATCACCCACACCTCACAGTCAAGATCTGCCTTTGACATTACACAAAGTTTCCCGGATAAAACTCCTACAGCATTCATAACATTCATGCAGAAACTATAGTAATCTACTATAGAATCTGGAAGAGGTATCATTCGGAATGTCTCTAAATTCAAATCAAATGCCACTATCGTTTCTTTCTTCCACCCGACATCAGTATAACCAAGCCAATGACAATGGCCATCATGGCCATCTGTGCAAACTTCATCTCGAGTGGAAACTATTGTAACGTGTGATGGAAATCTTTGAGATATTAACTCCCATGTACCTTTTCTCATACTATAAACCTCAGCTTGAGGTACCATTTTGGATTCTCGAGGATAGCCTGTAAGCTTCACAAGTTTGTAATCATCAGTTTTGGGATCAAACCCAAACCGGAAATGGGCTTCGCTTGATTTATTAAAGGGGACAAGACATGGTGGGAGGGTTAGCATGGCGGAGAGAGAAGGATTGCATACGTGAACGACATAATCATCATCATATGATTTGTAATAGTAGCATATTAAGCCATTCACAGATCCAATGATACCACCCCTACCATCTTTAGATTGAGGATTAACTGGAGGTTTAATGAAATTGGTGAGTTCGAGATCGGGTGAATGAGAGGGTCGTGCTGTGAATGAAGTAAAGTCAAAAGAAAGTCCCTCACGGAAGAACAATAGAATCTCATCGTTATGATGGATAGAACGAAGGAGGTGGGATTTAACAAAGGAGGAATCAGATAAGAGAGCATTCCAAGGTTTACAAACGCACCTCATTTGAGCAAGCTGTTTGGCAATTAACTGGATGAATATGTCTGATAAAACTTCGTTTGGGAGGTTCTATATAGTGGCTAGGTTTCGTCTTGAAGCCATTTTCAGGTGTCAAAGTAAAATTTCTTTTCGGCTGCAAGGTAACACACAGACGCGTTAGAAAAAAAAAAAGGACCAGTTATAATAAGAAGACCATCCGGTTAACAAGATAAAGATTTGTCAAGCTCTTGTATGGCAATTGGTGATTATGTTTTTAATCCTACCCTATTAGGTTTGTAATCACCATTTTGAATTACATCATTCATTTAGTTGATTAATTTTGGTTGCTATTTAAGGTTACTTTGAATGATTGATGATTTCTTAACGGTTTTTGACATCAATTTTTCAGTTTTTTTTTTTTATAGGGTTTCCCCAAATCAAAATATTACCTTCCTTTTTCTTTGGTGACATTGATCATTTATACGTTAATTACTTGGATTTTCAGAAATAAAGTTGAAAATTAAGGCCAACATTAAGAGAAATTCAGAGACAGCAAGAAATAGACCCAATGAGACTGTGAGAGAATCAGAGAGACATACAAGAAGCGAGAGGCGGTTAAAGATGAAAGCGGCAGACTGACGGCCAGCGGCGAGATTCCGTCAGACCGATGCCGAAAAGGCAAGAGTGCGGGAAAGTTTTTCTTCAGAGATGGATCTGTTCACTAACATCACAACTCTCATCATAAAATTTTCAAATCCATATTCATCAGGCCCAATAAACCTAAAGCCCATCCTCTCGGAACCTAACGGATCTACCCTAACTAACTCTACAATCTACATCCATCCCCTAGTTTTATAACAACTAAAAAACGAGTTTGTCGTTGTTGGTATATGTTTGTAGATGATCCTATAATATATATACCATACTATTTTATTGTAGGCTTCTAATATGTTATTCTTTTTGATGAATTTGGTAAACCTTTACATTATTTTAGTGAGATGGTGAGATTAATTACCTAACTGGGCCAAATGGTCTAGCACAAGTGCATATATAAGAATCCAAGCTAAACACTCTAACCTCACTGCTAAGACCATCAAAATGCCCATCAATAGTTCTTCCAATTCCATCTCGAAGTTGAAGCTCTTGCTCAAAATCTGAGCAACATGAGTAGTGCTGTCACTAGCCTATAACACTAATGGTTGAACATATGCCATCTTATCAATAATCCTACACACCTCAAACACAAAGTTCACCATTTTTTCTGAATATGATCAAACCATATCCAATAGAACTTAACTTGATATCCAATTTATGAAACAAAATGTTCGTTTTCAACTGCAAATTTAATCTACTCCTAAACTACTCCTTAATTCCACGTATGTCAACCACGAGACTTGAACCTTCAACTTCAAGGAGGAATGCAACACTGGATACCGTTAGGCTTGAAGCCTTTGACATGAAATAAAATGTTATATGTTAAGTTTGAATACTTTAAAAGTATGTATGAATGGCATTTATATATCATTTTACTTGTTAAGTTATAAAACTGATTCTACCGTTAAAAAAATACTATAAAACTAGTTATCTAATTATATCAAAAGATCCAAACACTATTACTATAAGTCTATAATGTTTATTACAACAAATTTCCAGTTTCGGATATATTATGAAAAACCTGG